ATGGAATAACCAGGGCCGCCTGGCAGGGTGAGCACAGCTTGATTTAGGAGCTCCTTAACCAAGGGATGGCTCATGGCTGTGACAACAGGGATGGGGACAGAAGGGACAGCCCTTCCCCGTGGCCCCAAAGCCTTGGCTTGAGGTTTTTGGTGTGCAGACAACTGAAAGGTCTCTCCTCCCTCTCCCCTCTGCAACAGCAATGAATAATAAAACCTGACTCGGCTGGAAGGGCAAGGAAAAAAACAACAATATAGGACATTTCTGGAGATCGTCCTAATCCAGCATCTCGGAGCCAAATGAATCAGCAGCTTCTTATTCTGCCGGCAGGATTAGTCAATGTTCATCCAGGCTCCTGGGAAGTGAGGTGAGGCTCTGCATAGCAAGAAGCCGTGGCGAGGTGGCCACAGGGTGTTGGCTGGTTCATGGAGCCAAGCAAATCCCTCCTTGTAATCCTGCAAACACTGTTGGGATGCACCCACTCGTGCTGGGAGCCATGGGACAGCAGGGAGAAGGGGAGAATGAAAAAATACCTCTAAAAATCTGCAGTGTGGGTGAGGGATGAGGCTGTTGGTTGTGGGGGAAAGACTCCAGGCTGGGGCTGTCCCAGGCTGTCAGGGATGTCCCTCATGCCACAGGGACCAGGGTGCCTGGGACCAGGAGCACCATGCCTGGCTGGTTTTCCTGGCTGTTAAAGTGGGTCAAGCAGAAACCCAAGGAGCATCTGAGCTCACCAGCCTTGAGCCAACTATGTGGAAGCTGAATTATTCAGGGCCAGCTTAAAAATTGAAGAGCCCAGCGAAACTCCAGGAGAGTGTAGCCCATGAGACACCCATATCCTTGTCAGGCAGAGGCAGCTCAGCCTGCCCATGCTCAGGGGCCACCTTGGGCATTTTGGGAGGGGGAGACAGCGTTGTTTTGTCTAACAGTGCCCTTGGGGATGGGGAAAGCAGAGAGAAAGCACACAGAGAAGTTCACCCTGATGGATTAATCTCCTTGTGCTCCCTGTACCACTCCAAGGTGTAGCAGTTTCCTTGGCTATCCCAGCAGGGCTCTGTCCCACCTGTAGCTGGAGTAGTTGAAAGGGACCCCCCTTGTCCCCTGGGATCTCTTGGCCGTGTGATTTTTGAGAGGAGGCTAAAACTGGGCCTTGATCTTTGCCACCAGGTGTTTGCTTGCTGCACCTCCCCACAGCTTGGAGAGCACCACATCCAACTGGGAGCTGAGCTGATGCTCCCCTCAGCTTGGTTGTCTCTAAAGGACCACCCCTGGTTCTATTCCTGAGGCTTTGGAATGGGGAGAACCGGCTCCTGGGGGGAATCCCTGTGGTGAGTAATGCTGCCTGGCGAGCGCCAGGAAAAGGCGGGTGCACATATGCTTCAGCTCATCCTGCTCTTTTCGTGGAGCACTCTCACTGTCTGGGTGCCAACGGTGGCAGGCACGGCCAGGGAACCCCCACTACACTCACCCCCCTTTTTTTTTTTACATTTCCAAGGTTCCTGGAAGAGGGTGATGGAGTCTGGTGTAGAGCAAGGGGATGTACCCCAAGGGGAGTGAGGTGCTTTGAGATTTTACAGTGACACCGTGAAATTAGAGATGAACAAATGTGCCAAAGCAAACAGCCAAAAAAAATCCCCCTTTGCACCAGAGGGCCGAACTGTGCAGGTGCTCAGCTCAGAGGGGAGCAGGGAAGGCTGAGCCCAGGCTCCAGGCCGTGCTTGGCACAGCAGTCGGGTACACTTGGAGCCAAACTCCGGCTATTTCAGCCACGGAGAAAAGATGGAAATTTCCACCTGGCCTGTTTTCTTCCCTGTGATGAATTTGCAGGAGACCCTTTCCTCAGCCCCGCTCCCAGCAGAAGGGTGGCTGAGGCAGGGCAGGAGGTTGTGTCTCTAATTTCCTCTGGCAGCAGCAGCAGCAGCAGCAGCACATCCCCATCCCCACACGCTGATTTACACAACGCAGCATTTATTGACTGCGAGGACATTGTAATTCACAGCTCGGTGCGGTGCAGCCACGGGAGCAGGGATGGTTCCTCTCCTCCTTCCCTCTGCCTCCATCCTCACACGCTCCGAGGGGGAAAGCCCAGCAAGGGATGGTCCCCCAGGGCTCTCACCCAGTTCTCTGGGAAGGGGCACCTGCTGAGTCCCCCTCTGTGCCTTGCTGCTCCTGGAGAAACCCGATAGCATCAGACCCCCGTGATGGAACCTGCAGCCTGGGCCAGCTCACTCAGCCTGGGAGCGGTGGGGACACCCACGAGGCCCCTGCCTGGGTCACCCGCCTTGGGGACACATGTCCTCTCTGGATGGATATTCACACTGTCCCGTGTTGCTGGTTCCCTTCCTCCTCTGCTTCCATTCCCTGGTTTTGGAGTGGAATAGAGACCCTCTTGGCTGTTTCCTCAAAAAGCTGGGGGATCTCTGTGTTCTGTTAGCCAGAGCTGCAATCCATCCATCCATCCACCCACCCACCCATCCCGCTGTCTATCCACCCATCCCGCTGTCTATCCACCCATCCATCCTGATTCCATCAGCTCCTCTTAGACAAAACCTTTGGCAGGGCAAGAATTACCCTCTGCCTGAAAAGCTCATGCCCTCAGTGAAATTACCGGGGCTTCCTTCCTAATTAATCTCTCTTTGCAATTAGCTCCGGACCTCCCAAATCCCTCTAAGGCACCTCTAGCCGGTACCTATAAGCGGTCCCTATAGGCGGTGCCTATAGACCGGGCTATGGGCGTGCATCGGGAAAGCCTCTCCCGCGGCCCCGGGACCGGCGGGGGGGCTCGGGGGAGGAGCGGGGGGCGGGCGGGAGGCAGACCCGGGGTTGGGGAGGCAGAGCCGGGGGTCGGGAGGCAGAGCCGGGGGTGGGGAGGCAAAGCCGGGGCTGCCCCCGCTCCGCGCCGCCGCCGCAGTCGGTGCCGGCCCCCTCCCGGCGGAGGCTCCGGTATGGCGGGGCCGGGGGCCGGCGGCCGCCGGGGCTGAGCGGGGCGGGCCAGCGCCGGTTCCGCAGAGCCGCCGCGGAGGAGAGAGGTAAGAACCGCCGCGACCTGTTGTGCTCGGCCGGGACCGCCGGGGAACGGGGGGAAAGGAGAGGGGGAAGCCCTTGCCCCGAGCCCCTGCCCGCCCTGGCCCCGCTGAGCATCTTCCCGGGCCCCCCGAGCATCCTCCGGGCGCGGCCGGGGCCGGCCAGGGGCTTCTCCTTCAGGCCGGGGACGTGGGATACTGAATTCCCCCCGTTAATTGCAACTTCGCCGCTGGCAAGATGTCGGGGGACGCTTTTGCCGGAGCAAAAATCGCTTTTGTGCCCTAACGGGAGAGCTGCGGTGCCCGGGGGTCACGCAGAGCCGGGGGGCTGCGGGGCAAGGGCCCCTCTCGGGTGAGACCTCCCAGCCCTGCCCGCGATGGAGAAACGCCCTGGCCGCCACACTGGGGCCACAGGGTGTAAATCCATAGGGGTAGACGGATGTAAATCCAGCGGGAGGAGAAAATCCAATTTACGGCAGCGCAGGGATGCTCGGGGGAGCGAGGCGGAGAGTGCCGGAGGCTGGTCCAGCGCCGCGGCTGTGCAGCGCATCCCGCATCCCTCATCCCGCTCTGCTCCTGGCCCCGGGAAGTTTGGGCCACACACAATCCGTACGAGGCTTTTCCAGCCGGTTTGTTCCTCAGCTGGGATTCCTGCTATGGAAAAACCCTGCAACAGGCTTCCCGGCACCCCGGGAGATGCTTCCCGCTGGGTTTTATTGCCTGGGGTGGCAGCAGGCACAGGAGGGTGCGGGTGAAGGGGATTGCAGACAGCTCCTCTGGGAGCAGCAGGATGGAGCCGTGCCCTGCTGGGTTGTTCTGTTCGCGGTGCTCTGGGGTGGGGGGTCTCGGGGTGAACCCCAGCATGGTGTGGGAGGGGGACCCCATCCCAGCCCCGCAGCAGCGCTGTGACCCCAGAACTGCTTCAGTGTCGGGGCAGTGCTGTGCACCCGCCCCCGCAGAAAGAGAAGCATTTTGGGCTCCAGGAACTCACTCACAGGGTCTGTGGGCACCACGTTTCCCCCCCGCCTCAGCATCCAACACATCCTGGCAGCTGGAAACCTCTCTGCTCCTGCAAACGCCATGTCTGGCAGGGAAACCAAAGAAATCACTGTCATTGATTTTTCCTTCCTTGCCTGACTCAATCTACTGCCTTGGAGGAGATTTTTTTCACCATCACCACCACTCCTGGATGCCAGGGAGATCTGCAAGGAGATGGGCTGGGGACAGGCAAGGAATTCAGAGCAGCCCCCTGGGGCTGAACCACAGGGATGGACCCTGTTTTGGGTGGCTCTGGTGGGGTCACTGGAGGATGTCAGGTATTTGGAGAGCTCATTCTGGGATGCATTCAGCACAGCCCTTCTCAGGCGTGATGCTGGGGTCTCTGGCAGCTCTTGGAGCAGCTCCATGCTGGCTCTGATCCCCCAAAGAAGCAGATCTGAAAAAAGCAGTGTCAAATCTCATCCTCTCTCTGAAAGCTGCAGGAGTGTGTCTGCCCGGCCAGCCCCAGGCACCAGAGATGCTGCAAAGGCCATAAAGCAGAGCAAGTGTGCTTCCTGCAGGGAGCGAGGCTTCCTGAGGCAGCCGGGATCCTCCCCACAGCCGCCTTCCGTGGTGGTTTCCATCCATTAATTTCTCTAATTGCTTTTGGAAATCACAGTGAATTTTGTCTTTGGTGGCATCCCAGTGAGGTGCTGAGCCAGGCTGTGCCTCGAGGGTGGCTCGTGTGGGTCCCCCACGCTCACCACCCCAAAGCCAAACTTGTGCTCGGAAGGTCGGTGGATCCCATTTGCCTCGGGGAAATCATCTTTCCAGGTGGAAAAAAACATCAGAACCGCTGAGGTGGAGAAGGCTCAGGGCCACCCACATGCCATTGTCCCTTGCAGACCCCTGGCATGGCCCGGGGGTGACACAGGAGCAGGGTCCCAGCTGTGCACCCCGGGGGTGTCACTGCTCTCCCTCCCTCCCTCCCAGGTGGCCAAGATGGGCTCGGTGGGAGCCGAGCGCTTCAAGGAGCTGAGCCCGGCAGCGACGCCCGAGGGGAACGTGGTGATGAGCTTCAGCTTCGACAGCTACCAGCTGGAGGAGGACGAGCTGCAGCGGGGCAGCCAGGCCAAGGGTGTCCTCACCTTCATGGAGCCAGGTGAGGGCAGGCACAGCCCAACCTGTAGCCAGGTGCCCTGCTGGTTTCCCACCCACTTGCGAGCTTCCTGGGATGGGTTTAATAGCCACAAATAGTCTGGAATGCCACAATATTGCCCTTTTTTCATCCCTTTTTGCAGCCATGCGAGCCACCAGCACATCCCGTGACAGTGGGCTCTGCAGGCTGGCAAGGAATTGAGGATTGGTGCCCTGGTTCTCCTGCCAGGCTCACCCCCAGCCTGCAGCTTCATCTTTCTGCATGCAGGACTCAGGGACAGTCCCGGGTTTCACCCCAGCCTTGTTCCACATCCTGAGGCAGCCTTGTCCACCTCCACACCCACCTTGACCCTTCCTCCACCTTGCCTTGTGCTGCTCCCTGCACTGCCTGGCTCTCAGCACATTTAGCTGCAATTAAAACTCACCAGACCCCCAAAGCCCAGATGTTTTCCTGCCTCCTGGGTCTCCACTGAAATGTCTTTATTTAGAGAAGGAACTTCTCAGAGCTGGGGCTGTTTATTTGTACATCTACAGGGAGCTGAGCCGTTTCATTGCCTTAAGGCTGGGGTCTGACGTGGGACCCAGGAGTGCAGCAGTGCCACTGTCACATCTTTTTCTCTCTTTCTTCTTCTGGGGCAGTTTCTGAGGACCCTGAGCCCCAGGATCGATACCATGGGATTTATTTTGCCATGCTGCTGGCTGGGGTGGGATTTCTCCTGCCCTACAACAGCTTTATCACTGATGTGGATTATCTGCACCATAAATACCCAGGTAGGTCTGGAGCGGCTCTAAACACGCCAAACCTGGAGAGAGCTCAATCCCACTTCCAAGGGAGCTAAACTCCTGTCCCCTCATCACCTTCCTCTCCTCAGGGACCTCCATCGTCTTTGACATGAGCCTCACCTACATCCTGGTGGCCTTGGTGGCCGTCATCCTCAACAACGCGCTGGTGGAGCTGCTGAGCTTGCACACCCGGATCTCCGTGGGTGAGTGGGGTCCCTGCACCCCCAGGCAGAGCTGTCCCCTTGCTGTGCCCCTGCCACCACCTCTGTCTCCCCCTCACAGGCTACCTCTTCGCCCTGGGGCCCCTGCTCTTCGTCAGCATCTGTGACGTGTGGCTGGAGCTGTTCAGCCGCAGACAAGCCTATGCCATCAACCTGGTGGCTGTCGGGGTGGTGGCCTTTGGCTGCACAGGTATGTGGCAGAGCTGGGCTGGGACACAGCAGGTAGGGGTGGGAAACAGCCCCGTTCCTGAGCCATGGTCTCCTGGGACAACTTCCTCTGGTCCCTATAACGCTCAGGTCCCTGCCCTGTCCCCTCCACCTCTGTCCAGGCATTGTGGGACTGGCCAGGGGTACCCGCACCAAACCACGTATTGGTCACTGACACAACTGGTCTGGGCTACCATGGTGGCATCCCGAACCCCCACACCTGGTGGCCAGTCTGGGTGGGAACAGACGTAGTGGAACATCCAGGGAGGGAAAAAAGGGTGCTCGTGCTTTTGGAGCAAGGAGGCTGCTGGAAGGAGCAGCTCCCAGTTGGCACAGCACATGGGTTCTCTCTGGGGTTTCTTCCTCCTTCCCGGAGTTTTGGCTGCAGCAATAATCCCTCCTTCTCCCCTCTGTGCATCTCTCCTGAAGTGCAGCAATCCAGCTTCTATGGCTACACGGGGCTGCTGCCCAAGCGCTACACGCAGGGAGTGATGACGGGCGAGAGTAAGTACCCACATCCCACCACAGGGACCTGCACCTTCTCCTGGGGACCCAGTGAGTCACACCTGGGTCCCCACTGGCCCCAGCATAGCCCAGCAGATAGGGACACCCCAGGGTGCTCCCCAGCAAACCAGGGAGTTCACTGGTTTCTAAGGCATGAAAAGCTGGGGGTGGGGATATCTGCCGGGAGTTTTATCACCCCAAAATCACTGCTGGTGGCTCCTCTATACCGGGAAGCATCACATCCACGTGGTGGGGGGCGATGAGGATCCCTGAGCTGGGGTTCAGTGGGGCCCAGCACCCACAGCTCCCCCACACCCCCAGGCACCGCCGGGGTCATCATCTCGCTCAGCCGCATCTTCACCAAGCTGCTGCTGTCCGACGAGAAGGAGAACACCGTCATCTTCTTCTTCATCTCCATCGGCATGGAGCTGACCTGCTTCATCCTCCACCTCCTGGTGAAGCGCACGCGCTTCGTGCGTTACTACACCGACTGCTCCCGCAAGGGCCACCCCGACAGCCGCGGGGCCACCGACCCCGGCACCGGCTACCGCGTCCACCACGATGTCACCTCCGAGGACGTGCGATTTGTAAGCCAAGGGTGGGTTTCCCTGCCGGCCCCTGGGGTTCTTTGTCACTGCACCTCAGCACTGCTGTCCCCTCTTCCCCTCATCCAGGAGAACCGGGAGCAGGGGCAGCCGAACTCCCCCCGGGGCAGCCCCGGCCCCGAAGCTGAGCTGGCTGGGAGTGGCACCTACATGCGCTTCGATGTCCCTCGGCCCAAGATCAAGAGGAGCTGGCCCAGCTTCCGAGGTGAGTGATGGGCTCGGGGGAAAGTCCGTGGGGTGGGATGAATGATGGGTGAGCCAGAGTTATGGGGGAGGATCATCCCCCAGGCTGGAGAGGGACTTTTGAAAAGGCCATGGAATAGCAGGACAAAGGGAAATGGCTTCAAACTGACAAGAGGACAGGATTAGATAGAATATTTTCAAGAAATTCTTTCCTGTGAAGGTGGTAGGCCCTGGCACAGGCTGCCCTGAGAAACTGTGGCTTCCCCACTCCTGAAAGTATGCAAGGCCAGGTTGGACAGGGCTTGCAGCAACCTGGGATAGGATAGTGGAAGGTGTCTCTGCCCATGGCAGGGAGTTGGAACTGAATGATATTTAACACTCCCTTGCATCCCAAACCATGATTCTATGATCCCTTTCCCAATGATGTGCCCAAAACCATGGGGCAAACTCATCCTTGGAAGGCACCTCTGGGGGGTCAGACAGAGCTCTCAGGCTCTGCAAAGGGGGCCGGGCTGCAGTTTTGGCTGAGCTGTGCTGCCTGTCCCTGGCAGACATGCTGCTCTACCGCTACGTCGTGTCCCGCCTCATCTGGGCCTACATGCTCTCCATCGCCATGACCTACTTCATCACACTGTGCCTCTTTCCCGGGCTGGAGTCAGAGATCCACAACTGCACGCTGGGGGAATGGCTCCCCATCCTCATCATGGCCATCTTCAACCTCTCTGACTTCGTTGGCAAGGTAGGAGAGGCCAGAGCCAGCACAGTGGGGCTCTGCCTGGTTTGGTGTCCTTTTCTAAGCAACGTGGCTCCACCAAGGCTCATCTCCACTCATGGGGGTATAACCAGTGTGAGGCTGGCACTCACCAGCCAAGGTTGGGTTCCCACAGCAGTCAGTCTTTCCACCATCTCGTCTCCTTGTTGTCCCATTTTGGGCACTGCAGGGCCCTCCCCAGCCTCCTCACCCCCCCCAGCAGAGTCTCTGCCCCTCGCTGCAGATCCTGGCTGCCCTGCCCTACGACTGGAGAGGGACCCACCTCCTCGTCTACTCCTGCCTCCGTGTGGTCTTCATCCCCCTCTTCATCATGTGTGTCTACCCCAATGGGCAGCCCACCTTCGGCCACCCCGCCTGGCCCTGCATCTTCTCCCTCCTCATGGGCATCACCAACGGCTACTTCGGCAGCGTCCCCATGATCCTGGCCGCGGGCAAAGTGAGCCCGGAGCAGCGGGAGCTGGCAGGTAGGACCGAGCCCTCCCGGGAATCCCACGTGGTGTCCCAGAGCCCCCTGACAGCCCTTGTCCCTCCCCACAGGGAACACCATGACCGTGTCCTACATGACGGGCTTGACGCTGGGCTCGGCCGTGGCCTATTTTGCCTACAGCCTCACCAGTACTTCCCACAGCTCCTGTTTCTACACTGAGACCTCCAATGGCTCCTTCACCCTGGGGTACTGAGCCCTGGGGTGGGGCAATGGGGACAGGATGGAACCTGCTTCCCACCATGGTCCCCAGTGCCCCACATCCCTCCTCAAAGAGGGAGTTGGGAGCCAGAAAGCCACCCCAGCATGGACAAGGACTGGCACCCTGTTGGCACAGGGCTGTGGCATTCCAAAACGGCCTGTGCTGCCCAGCCAGGCACTGTGCAGGGCCACTGCTTGGGGTGACATTCCTCCCACCCCAGGGGACAGTTCTTGTTGTTTGTGGGGGTCTCCCCATCAGCAATGTGTAGCTCTCCAGTGAAGGCTGGGGATCTTCTGTTTGTACCAAGCCATTGACAGGAGGAAGAAAATACTGCCAAATCCCAAAGGGAATAGGACCAGCACTGGGGAGGAGGATAATGGAGGGCTGGTAACGAAGAAGAAGGGCAAGAGAGGAAGGAAATGCTCCTTCAGTCCTGCAGGCTCTGGGAAGGTGGGTCTCGACTTCCATTGATGGTGCTGCAGGTTTTCACCAGGAATGGCTTGAAATGACAGTCCCTCCCTAAATATGCGAATCACTTCTGATGGTTGGGGAAAGATTTTTTTTTTTTAATTGTGTCTTGTTTTACCCTAACTATAACAGAGGCAGGGTCTTGCCTCCCCCCACCCCACACTGTGAATCTGCCCCACTGCAAGGGGTAGAGGGGGGGTCCCAAGGCTACAGCACTGCCAGTGCCAACTGCAGGCCACTGCTGAGCTTCAAGATTTATTGCACAGGACGTAAGTGAAGCTGATTCAATAATTAAACGTCTTTGCAACGATGGCTGATCCTTAGCTGTGCCACTGGCACTGGTGGCACTTGACTGCTGGTGATGGGCTGGGCTGGCAAACACACACAGGGTGGTGCCTGCTGCCTGTCATGTTGGGTCTTGGGGTGCCCCTTGTGCTGCTCCCCATCTACAGGGCCCCCTTTGTCACCTGAGGTGGTTGAACAGGTCACTGGGTTACACCAAACCCCAGCCAGCCTGCAAACTGCAGCACATGGGAGAGGGAACAGGCCAAGAGGAGCAGAAACCATCAGGAGAAGGTGCCAACACCACATTTTGGGACCAGCTGCACCTTGCTGTGCCAGTTGGCGGGTGCCACCTCCCAGGGAATCAAGCCCAAGGAGCCACTGAGTGCCAGGCCTGGCCCTGACCCGGCCCCCCCACAGCACGGGAGGGTCTGGCTGTGCCAAGCTCCCGCCTGTGTGAAGTGCAGCTCACACCAAAAAGAGCAAATCCAGCATCTCATCCTCAGCACAAGGTGCCCTGAGCATGGTGGCAGGGGGAGGACTCACACCTCCAGCCCACAGGCCCTGTCCAGCAGACACCTCTACTCGTGTCCAGTCCTGCCCATCGGTGCCACCACATCACACAGACGGGTTCTCCCCAAAAAGCCACCTGGGTTGTGTCTTTCTCCAGGGCAGGGGCTGAGCCAAAAAGCCATCATTGCCACCAAGGAGAGAAAAACCCTGCGGTCAGGACAAGTGAGACAAAGAAAGATGCTTCGTTGGGTTTCTTTTTTTCAATTAGTTTTTTTTTTTTTTTTTATGAAAAAAGATCACACGGAGTTCTCCAACAAACAGAATGCCAAAAAAATTGTTTTAAACAAAACATAAACAAAACAAAACAAAAAGACAAAAACCTGGCTCTCCTTTCCTCTCGATTGTCTGAAATATCCTTGTGTTCCATAGAAGGCAGTGGGTTTTAAGTGCTTTCTATTTAACATTAGCATAAAATCTCTCTCGCGCGCTCTCTCTCTCGCTCTTTAAAATATGCTCACACAATTTGCTTCTAGAAGTACAGTACACTTTGAGCGTGGGGGGTGTGCCTGTTCCCAGATCATTTACAATCACAATCCAACAGGAAATAAAAAATAATATTCTAAACGTCAGACTGTGTTCATTTCTGCCGTTGTGGGTTTTTTTCTTTTTTTGTTTTTTATAATTTCATAATTTTTTTCACAGTTTTAAAAAGTTTATATTTATATATATATATTTATATTTATATTTATAATTAAAAAGTTGAATCCATTTAAAGACTTATAATACAGGAGGGCTAAAGAGTCTTTTGGTACATTAAAACTGTACAGGCTAGAACCGTCACTGTCCGCCGTGCCGAGGCGCCGGTGGCCCGGGGTGGAGATGGTACGAGCTCAGCACCATGTGGTTTGTTTAAAGGACATGGGGTAACTCTGTGGGGCTGTCCCTCACCCCTGAGCCCCAGCCTCCAGTCTCTGGTAGGCAGCCAGGGTGGAGAATTTCCAATCTGTCCTTGGCTTAAGCTGGGCCGAGCCGGGCCCCGCTCCGCGTCCCGGCGATCCGTAGTGCGAGTCGGGAGTTGCAAAGATCAGTGCGTCTCTTGGAGTTTTGTTTTAAGTGCAAGGATGGTGCATTGTTCTCAGGTTCTCCTCTGGTGTTCCCTCTCGCCAGGTGTGACCCCGGAGCAGCACTGGTGGTGCTGCAGGTCTGGTGTGTGCCCAAGGGGAGCTCAGCTCCCCCGTGGATGGAGGAAGCTGAACGGTGCAGTCCCTGAGCCCAAGGTGGCAGTGGGGCTTTGGCTGTGGGAACGCCACAGGCAGGCACAGCCGGGTTCACACTGTCCCCGTTCCCTCCAAATGATGGGCAAGGCTTCCCAGCAGCTCCACGTCTCAGCACAGGCAAGGCATGGTGGGAAAAGCTGGGTGAGGGATCCAGTGGCCTCTGATTTTCTCTCCTCCAAGCACCAAGCAGCAGCTTTTCCCTGTCGTTTCCTGCCCCTTCACTGCACGCTCCAAGACGAGGTCTGTTTGCCACGTGTCACCCCCCCCTTGCCACCTGCTTGCTCCCTCCAGCACCTTCGCAGGACAGAAGGGGTGCAGAGCTGCAGAGGGTTCAGACTGTTTGTTCAAGGCAGTGGGAAGGTGGTGTCTCAGACTGGATGTTGGTTTCTCTTCCACCTGGCTCCTCCCAGCCCAGAGGATTCTCTTCTGCCATCTCTGTGCTGGGGCCAGCCCTGCCCTGTCGTGCTCCACACGCTGCCAGAGGGGCCTCCAGGGAAAGGGAACAGCAAAAAGGCGCTGAGAGGATCGAGACGAGGCGCTGAGAGAGACTCATCTCCTTTCTCTTTCACCCTGTCCTTCCTATAAAGGGTCATGCGAAACTAAGCAGGAAAGAAAATCTAAAGGACGGAGAGGAGCGCACACAGAAGGCAAGAGGCTCCTTCCATGTGCGGGTGGCTTCCGAGTTACTGATGGGGAAAAATGACACAAAAGGGATCCCTCCTGCCGGGGGGTCCCGCTGGTGAAATGATCACAAGACCCATGTGCTTTCCTGGACCAAAAGGAGGAAGGGAGAAGTTGGTCAAGTGTCACCTTACTTAAAGCCACTTCCAGAAGAGCCTCGGGGTTCAAGCACCACCACCACCCCCCCAACGGCATCTTCCTCAAGTCCTGTAACTGCTTCCCCAACCCCTTTCTTCAGCCTTCTCCTTCCTCCTCGTGTCTCTCGCGCTCTCCTGTCTGTAGTGTGACACAGAAATGAGCATTGAAAGAAACAATCATGTCGTCTGAACAGGCACGTCCTCAGGTTTGTCCCATCCCTTCCCAGGGGGTGGCATGTGTCCCCTGGGCAGTCAGCAGATGACAGGGACCCCGTCAGTGTTGAAGATCATGCCCGTGGTGGGCTCGTAGGTCCCTGCAAGGTAGTAGAGGTCCTCACTGTCTTGGTATTTCTTTGTCTTTAGCATCTGCTCATATTGATCCAGACCAACAACAAGACACTTGTGTGAGATGGTCTGGACATCATTTTCATCCACGTGAGAGGACTGGTAGAGGGCTCTCTGCACAACAGGAACAGAAGGAAGGAGGTGGGGAAAAAAGGAGCCATTAGATCACACAGCATTTACAGCGTCATCTTCAGTAAGTAGGAAAAACACTCATCATAAAAGTGATAGGACTCTGCACACACTCAACACTCATCCCACTCATCCCAACAGCCAGCCCAGGGGAAGGACACTGGGAATCTGCACAGACCCATGGACAGCCTGGACAATCCCTCCAGCCCACTGAACCTGAGGCCTGGCTTTCACTTGGCTTCCACTGATGGGAATGCTGCAGCTGCCAAACACAGGTACAGGGAAATACGGAGGCCAGGAGTTTGTCGTCCTCACTTCAAGGATGCAAATGCAAAGACGGGTGCTGGATCCCAGCTCCCTGCTCCTCCCCACACCCAGCACCTGCAGCTACTCCCACCCTCCCAGAAATATCCATCCCAAGTCCTGGGCACTGCAGACTTGGCAGGTGAAGCAAAAAGCAAGAGCCAGAGAAGTTTGAGGGGCATTTCCCAGTAGCATTTATTTGTTACAGGGTACCATGCATTCTCTCCCAGCCTTCCCCCAGTCCTACCAACCTCCATAAAGTCCTTCCTCTGATTGGATGCCTGCAAAGCTGTGGCCAGACTCCTGCCAGATTTCTGATCCCAGCGCTGTGCCCAAGAAGAAAAGAGGAAAGAGAAGCGAAAACCTGGTGAATTTGTTGTTTTTCCATGTCATCAACTACCGCCCACCACACGTGCTTTTGGAACTTCAACCCTTGCCCACTGCCACTAGGAATAATCCTGCTGTAAACCAGCTGCACACGTGCAAAATTCAGTGTTTCTGAGCACCAGACCCATCCTCTTTAAAGACTTGATCTGGCTCTTGACACTCTTTTTGGACCAACACAGAAGTCTTTATTTCCTAATACAAAGAAACCCACCCCTCCCTTCTACAAGGAGCCAACACTGGGCTTGCCTACACCACAGGCAGCCCCCACAAGATGAAAGAATGGGGCCACTTCCTTCAGGGTACCAAGTAACAAACTGGGCCTTGGAAACAAAAGGGAGCAAGGAGCTTTGCAACCCTCTCAGCAAAGGAGACCAGCCTACCTTGCCTTCATTGAGTTTCTTCCCAGGGTTGGTTTCTTCTGGGTGATAAAACCATTTGACTCGGACCACCATGTTGTTCCCCCAGGATTCCCACATGCTCTGGATCCTGCCAATGTAGGGCAGGTTGGGGCGGCCAGCAGAGAGGAAAACGGCGCAGTCTCCGATGCGGATGATCTCCTTGCCCCGCACGATGGCCTTGTAGAACAGCTTCCTGGCCTTCCCTTTCATTCCCCGTCTCTGCCAAGAGAGGATCATGCAAGTGGTGAGTCAGGGATCACCTCTATTTTCCATACACGCCCTGTCCTGCAGGCATCCCTTTGCTGCTGGCACAGTATTCCCACAGGAATTGGGGCACAGAGATACACCATGCAGAACGGCTTCCCCAACACACTGAAAGCCAACCCCCATCTCCCTGCAAACTGTACACTTGGCACACCACACCAGCAGCTCCACCACTGCAGGAAAAGGGAAGGGGCACCAGAAGGCAAACCCCAGTGCTGAGTGCCGAGCACTGTGGAGCATTTACCTGTGTGGGCTTCCCAAACCACTTCCAGAGCTGCCGTGCCGGCAGGAAAGCAGCGATCTTGGGCCTGTTCTCCACGGAGGGCAGGCGCTGGCGCTTGGCCAGCTCCTTGGTGGTGGGCAGGTGGATGCCCTCGCGCTTCTTGGGCCGGCTCTTGTTGCTGCTCTGCGGCGGTGCCGGCTGCTGCGCCGCCTGCTGCGCCGGCTGCTGCGCCGCCTGCTTCTGGCTCTGCGGGTGGGAGGATGCCCGGGATTTCCCTGCCTGCTTGGTTTGCTTGGGTGGGAGGGTTTGCTGCACCGAGGAACTCGGCTGGGCCTCGGCTACTTCGTCGTCAGAGCTACAGGAGGAATC